GGTGGGGTAGGTAATTTATGAGAGTTATCCAACAACATCTGGATTGCAAGTCCTGTGTGCTAACCATTACACCACAGCAGAAACGCATACACAACAGAAAAACTTTTAGTGCACAGCTTAGATGTGTGTAGAGTACCATAGTCAATCATATGCTGCTATTTGTAAATGTGCACTGCAGCCATATAACATTTTTTTTATTTTATTTTACCAGGTAAGTCCCCACTGAACTATTTCGCTTTTTTTCCAGAAACGACCTGGCCACAAATGATAGCTCAAAAAAGTGGCTCATCAAGTGGGAATTTATAGCAGCCAAATACTCTAAACGCGTGTTTCTAAAGATGGAGAGAAAAAACCGGTGGACCTGGAGAAAAATCCATGCCACGATGGGGAGAAAGAACATGCAAACTCCAAATATTCAGGCGAACCCACGACCTCTTGCCACCGTGGCGCCCTTGCGAGAGCCAAGATTAATGACTTTTACCAGTGCTACTGAGGAGGCCCTCAAGATTTTATACCAATGTGAACATTTCAATTGTTTTGAATGATGCAATGAAGCTTGAATGCAAACTAGCACTGTTCATGTTCTCTCGGAGTCTGCTGGGATTCCAGAAATTATAAAGGACCACCATCTGGCTTGGAGCCCAGTGTGTAAATAATGAGTGGGGAGAACAGGATATACCAGTCATAACTTATTCATATTCTTAGCTCTTTCGGTAAAGTCACGTTGAAGGGAAACAAAATAATAAAATATATATGAAACAATAAAAATTCTCACGACGTTTCGACCATAACACACCTGATGACGACCGTTTGTGTTATGGTCGAAACGTCGTGAGAATTTTTATTGTTATATATATTTTATTATTTTATTGTTTCCCTTCAACGTGACTTTACCGAAAGAGCTAAGAATATGAATTACTGCAGTCACGAAAGCTTTAAATCAAAATCAGTCATAACTTGACGAACAAATTTTGTTTCGTGGGCTGGGCTCTGGCACATAAGTTGGCACAGTCATCCTGCCCACAAGCCTTGTGGCTTTCATGCTAGCAAATAATAAACGTGATATGACTTTCCCTGTGGTGTACATTTTTCTCACGGCATTTGTCCTTTCAAACCATGAGCCACACGCAGCGTTGTTTACCTGCTCTTTTGTGTGATGGCAATAGGTTCAGAAGGCCAAATGCCAATGTCGAGGTCTGCTCCGTCCTAACCATAAGGCTTCAGGAAAGAGAGTTTAACTTTTCCCTCGTCCTTTGACGGAGCGTACACTACAGCAGTTTACTTATATAGTGCGTAGTTTAAGGTCGCACTCATTACACGCAAAGTGCTTGCCACGAATCAACCGAAATACCTTGCTGATCTAATCAGGGAACATAAACCATCATCCTTGCAGGAGTGGCTTTTCGCTGGCCATCAAAACACATTCCTGCGGAGGGGGCTGGTAGGAACGTTGGTTGCTCAGTCAGTGGCCAGGGTCAACGGCGGCACGTGGCGTATTCCGCAAATATGCCCGACTGTGAGAGCGGGCACAAGCCGGCGTGAGTAGGTTAAACGTTGAGTTTTATAAAGGCACTACGGGGTGACCAGCCCCTCCCCACCCAGCCCCACCCCACCCAGCCCCACCCCTCCCACCCCCCACCCAGCCCCACCCTCCCCACCCAGCCCCTCCCCACCCTCCCCTCCCCACCCAGCCCCTCCCCACCCAGCCCCACCCTACCCTCCCCTCTCCACCCAGCCCCACCCCTCCCATTATTTATATCCGAATGTCCGGATACACGTGGACAGACATCCACAGACATACACAATTAATCCCCTGCCTCCTGTGAATTAATCCCGGTTGGGCTTCCAGTCCACTACATTTCCTACCAGTATAAAGATGGTCACTGCATTGCACGCTTTCAGATGTGCTTCTGCAGCCATCTGGAACGCTCTTCCGATATAGAAAGCCACTGGAGCTATGCACTTTTAGACGTAGATTGAAAACTAATTTATCTAGAACTGCTTTTTGTGTGTTTAGTTTGTTCTTCTTCCCCCGCACCTCCGATTAGCATACTTGGCGACATACGTTGCGAAATACGTTCAACGTACGGACATACATATGCAGTGAATCACTTCGGAGACTCTAGTTAGGAGGCAACAACGTTTATTCTACACTATATAACACCATTACACACGGGACTACAATATGCCTATCTCTTAGACACCGTTACACACGGGACTACAATATGCCTATCTCTTACACACCGTTACACACGGGACTACAATATGCCTATCTCTTACACACCGTTACACACGGGATAACTATAAACGGCTCAGAGCAGCCAATGTGCTGGCTGACCCATGACGTTGGGAACGGAGACGGGGAGATGAAGACGTAGCGCCTGCAGAGAACCCCGATCTTCGATCTTCGATCGGGGCTTCCCTTTTATCTCGGCGCGGCCTAGCTCTGCCCTCGGCCACGCCCTCTTCGGGAACATTCCCGAAAGTTCCAGGCTACCTTGGACGTGCCACCTGCCCGGCTCCGCCCTTAACCACGCCCCCTTCAGGAACTCTCCAGAAGATTCCCGGCTACACTTCTCGTGTCCCCTCAGTCACCTTTGCCCCCACATTCCTCACCCTGGCCCATCGCGTTCTTCACCCGAGGCCGTGATGACTCGTCCTCATATCCCCCCTTCCGCCAGCAACCTGCACCACGCTCCCCAGTGACCAATTACGTGGCATTCACTCGCTGTGCTGGCGGAGTGGCTGCTATCCCCTACTCTGTCGGTAGGACTCATCAGCATCTCTGTCCTAGCACCCAGTACCACGCACCCTAGCGACCCACTGTGTGGTACTGCATGGTGTGCTAGCCTCTACACCCATATTTCCTCATTCTCCTGTACTTAGAGCTACGCGCTGTAGTGATCCATTCTATATCACTACACATATATAGTTTGAGTTGCATGGCCACAATCGCACTGAATTTATTGGCTTGTGTTTAATGTCTACATTGATGGAGGAGATTGAAACCATATGCGGTATTAATCGGGTGTACTCGTTCAGTTATTGTCAGCGGTGCCACAACAAACGCCTAATCACAATTGTGTATCGCTTCACCTTCTATTATAAAGTTATTCGTTTGTAACACTTTTATTAAGAATTGCATACATTGTCAAAAATATTTCGTAAGTGTTTTGCTGTAGGGTTTCATTTCCTGAGAACAAGAATATCCTTGACAGCCATTGTTGGTTGTAGATAAATCATGTTTATTTTTTTTTTAAATACATCAACAATTGATTTGATCTATACCGGTTTCACCACAGCCCTTTATTCTGGGGTTGTAAATCGCACTGTGAACAACAGTTGTCTTTGAAGGGGAAAAACAAATATGTTGCTATTCGTTTATGGCTTGCCAAAATCCACATTCTTGTGTTAACATCACCACTGCGGCTTATGAATCTCACTGAAAATCTGCGGTGAATTTTCTCCGACCAACCACAAAAGTATAGCATGTCCCACTATACGCTTTGTAATTGGAGTCAAGGCATAAGAGCGTGAGATCGTAATAATGGTGGCATCGTCTTTAATTATCTGGGGGTGGGTGGCGGGGGGGTTATGCACCTGATTTCCTCGTCAGATCTAGGGAAGCTAAGGCGGGTTATTGTTTGGATAGGTGCCGTGCATAATAGGCGTTATCGGCCGCGCCTGTGGGGGCTCAGCGATTGCGCGGCAGACAGCAGTGCAGCAAAATCCACCGCTGTATTGTACTTCTGTGGTGCCACATCTATAAACTCTGCCTTCACCAACCTGCACTTACCAACGTGGTGAAGTATGGTCAAGTGACCCCCCCCCCCCCCGCCGACCCACGGGACTTGGGGATGCCCTCGTCCAGCATAGGATTGACAGTAGAGCTACGTGTGTAAATCTCTACTTGAGAACCCATGTCATCTTTCTTGTCGGATTAGAAGCACATAGTTCTGACTATATGCTTCTAATTAAAGCTTGAATAACGACACACACATATATTACTCTTGACATAAAATGCTTGACGAAACCAACCTAAGGTAATGATTGATATCTTTCATTATTGGAAGTGACAATACTTTAAATGGACACATATTTAACAATAAAACACTGCTTGTAGTTTCGTGTATTGTTTTATTTCACTGATGCTAAAAAAATGCACCATAGATCTGGTCAATTCTTTTTAAGTAACCTAGAGGACATTGTGCAAAAAAGTCTTATCCGGGTTACCTTTGAGCACCATAGAGAGAATTCAATGAACATGGAGAAGGATTTTATCACAGAGATGAACACATACCCTAATAATAATAATCGTAATAGGCAAATGGAAACGGGCGTTCCATAGCTCCGATGGGAAATCAGAAGGGATGCATCTAAACAGCAACAGCAGCAGATGGCAATCATTTTTCACATTAAGGTAAGTGTGTGAGCTAAGGCAGTTTAAGTGCCGATGGTTTTTTGCCAACCAAGCATACATTGAGTTTCTCTCAACTCCACGCGAAAAAATATTCACTGCCATATAAATATGTTTTCTTGATTGTATGCGTAAGTATCATCTCTGCAAACTCAAAAAAGTACCGATTTCCAGAAACCTCATCGGTAGCTTGTATCCCCATGCCCTCGTGACAACAATGCTTTTTGCTGATGATTGCCGTGCAATGTTTTAATCCACTCAGGGAAACTCAGGTTTGGGTTAACACAACAGCAGGCAAGATAAGGGTGGCCAGTCTATCGGCTGGAAAACCTTCACATGACACAGGGTGACCTTGGTGCCCAGAGATGGTGTATCACTCATAGGTGTGTGTGGGGCAATTGCAGGTGGGGAGTGGTGGCACAGCGGTTAGCGCGCTGCCCTATGTACCCAGGGATCCGAGTTTGATCCCCGCTCACGGCCAACACCAGTGGCAATTATCTGAACCGGCCCTTGGCCTCAAATGAGTACCTGGTGACAATGTCTAAACATCGCCACTGGGGAGACAAAGGCTGCTAGGCGTGGTGCTGGCCACCCACCCTCTCATGTGCCACAGTGTCAGCCTTCATAGGTGCTGCTCGCTAACAGCACTTTTCCCAACAATCTGTTTAAGGCTGCACATGGGGACCTCTTTGTCTTCGCGTGGCGTGTGTTGCCTCTGCAGGCCACCGCACAGGGTGGAGGCCCCTGGGCGTGGGGACAGTGGCTCCACGGTCTGGAGCACGGGCACCAGCACTCAGGACTCCCTTGGCGTGCCGTCTCCCTCTTTCTCTCAGCTGTCGACGAGCCCAGACACGGGTAAGTCTGCTCGCTTGGAGCCCCTTGCCCATTCGCTTCTTTCTGCCCCCGTTTGCTTTTGAGCTGATTCGCTTGATGCCTCAGTGTGACGTTCATCATCGTATGGGTGGCTCAAAAATGTACGTTGTAAAAATACACGCTGTTTTTTTAATCGTTAATACTTTATGTATGAGGTTTTTTTTGACCCCCCAAAAATGCTAGATTATTCCTCATAGCTGTCATCTTTTGTAATTACTGCTCTGAGTTTATCCATTAAATTCCACTGTTGCGTCAGGCACGTGGGTGTTTGTTTGATAGTATTTTGCTACGCTTTCCCATATTAAATCCTTTCAGTACTCTCCTCTCTTAAGATGTGGGGCCATCGCATTCACAATGTTCAATGACCTGGTTAGAACAGAGTCGAGTGGGAGGGCTATTAGCAATGAGGGAAATTGACTCACCCCCACGTGTGATGTCACGTCTCACGTGGCTAAGAGCATTACATTGTCGTGTATGAGAAGCCTTGAGTGTTGCCTGGGGGGACCGTACCTTGTGGCCTTTGTAGTATTTCTTCAATTGTTTTGGACGTGGGCTTCAAGTCCTCTGAGCCACCCCAACCAACCACCTTTGTGTTTAATTGGCTTCACTTGGATGTCCGTTTACAATAACGATGCCTCACATGTTTTTAGCTTCATAGAATTGCTATTGATATGTTCATTGATGTTTCTTGTTGTGTTACGTTTTTTGTGTGGTGAGTAAAATCATATATATATTTGATATATATGAAGGCCATTCTACTCAGCTAGATTAGCTTTTTTTCTTGCGTTATTTTGCATTGAAGTAAAAACAGCACGTTTTAATAACGGGTTTGCTTAGTTTAAGTAATATCTTAATGCCATGGGGTGAATAATGATAATGCATGAGGAAATATGCCAGTACTTTGATAAAGTTGGTCTTGAACATCACATTTAAAGTCCATCAGCCTATTGGTGCTTCAGACCAAAATTATCCAAGCAGGATTTTATTTCAGCAAAAGAAAACGCTCTCGGTCTCATTAGCAGACTCACGCTTGTTAAAACAACAAATGCTGCTGGGTTACCAAGTGATATTGGCAAGAGCACTCCATAAAAACTCTGGGGCACAGTTCAATGCAAGTATAGCACTGTGGCACAAACTCACCGCTGGCCTTTTTCGCTCGTGATTCGCCCTCAGGCCTGAGCGTGCTCAGCAGCTCGGTGTCATCGCCGACAATCTCGGACACGCGGAGCCCACTCTCTACGCACTCGTCCCACGGTTCCCCGGAGCAGGACTCCCCGCTGCCCAGCCCCGACGTGGCCACCTCGCAGGGCTTTGTCTCCCCGATCCCCGCCTTCCCCTCGAGCCGCAGCAACCCCCTGCCCTTCACCACCGACCGGAGCGGACTTCCTACTGCGGGCGTCTTCGCGGTGATCGGCACCCCGCTGCTCGCCAACGGCGCCACTGCCCCTGCCGCCACCGGCGGCTTCGCGAGTCGACCGTCCGGCACCCCATCGCAGCAGGACGAAGAGATGGAGGTGTTGTCCGACACGAGCGCCCAGGCACAGGCGCCCGTCTTCCTGTTCCCCATAGCACCCGCGAGCGCCGCGCGAGAGCTGGAGCGTGGTTCGACCCAGCGGGAGGCGGCGGAGAGGGAGATGGCAGAGGCCGAGCTGCTGTCCTACAGCGAGAACCTGGAGAACGAGGCATACCTCCCGGCCATGGAGGTGCTCCAGGTACGACTCGGCTGCTGCGCGGTTGTGATGAGAGCCCAGCGCTGGCTCGCTTGGACGCGTGATGTTTATACTCGTTTGTTTAGAACACGTGTACGCCGCGTACACCGGCGTTTGATTGGTTACTTTTGAGCGATTCCACTGCTTTGTCGCTTTTCCAGTGGTACAAAAAACTAAATTTACCATGCCCCCCCCCCCCCCCCCCCCCCCCCGTATAGCCTTAAGGTCAGCACGTCACACGAGGGCATGGGTGGCCGGCACCACTCCCGGCTGCCTTTATCTCCCAAGTAGTATTATTTTATTGGTCATGAGCGGGAAACAAACTCAGGTTGTCGGGTTTGTGGCGCTTCGCGCTAACCGCTCTACCACCTCCCTCCCCCCCAAGTGGTACATTACATTGGCGCACTAATAACAACAACATAGTCGTTATTAACACTGGCATAAATTGGAAGCATTACATACGACGTATGACGTTTTGGACAGCGGTCCTTTTATATCAGAGAGATAATTCATTATTTTCCCAAACATTGACGGTTATTATTGCCTCTCGAGGGCAGTGTCAATTACAAGTGTGTTAAGATTCGTTCGTTCAGCTACGGTTCAAACAGGAGATGCCCGTCATCAGCTGATTAACAACGCATCGCGCCATGGGATTGCCTTCCAATTGTGACGCTGCTTGGGGTTCGCTCAGTGTCTCATTGATTGATTTAATTACATTCGGAATTTTTCATCAGGCGATTTGGTTTCACTATTAGAGGCACTGATATCGGGTTTAGTTTTGTTATTTTTATATGTATGTAATTACATTCAGTGGCATGACAATAGGAGCTTTGAAACATATTAGGTCTGTGAATGCTCTTAAACTTAAGAAGTAATGGATACAATTCTGCTACACAGATATAATTAATGCCGCCCTGTTAAAAATGTACTTTCAAGGCAATTGCACACTGTGCCCTCGCAGGTGGACATGATAATGCTGCCGAGCAAATAATACAGGCCACTCCAGAGAGGATCATGCAGGAGAACTTCACACCCATAGATTCCCCCTCCGAGAAAGGCAGGGAAACCACGCCATCAACCAAACCATGGCCTGGCTCGCTGGCTACCTAGGGGACGTCGACCACCTGCCCAACCTATCCCAGCACAGGTGACAGCTGGCTTTAGTTTGCAGCACAGGCGGAGGCTAGGCTGGATTATGTAGCTTATTGAGCGAATATCTGCTCTCCTGTGGCATTGTTGCTCTTGTAAACTGTGCCTCCTCTTAAGCTTTAGACATTATCAAGGAATTCTTAGAATCCAGGGGCAGATTTAGTTTGTCTCTTGTGTGCCTCTGGCATTTCCATTTTACCCTAAGGATTCTCATAGTGCCTTGAGTTGAAAGTCTGAGCCTTGTGTATTAACACTAAATCCTTAAAATCCTCAGGCTGCCTTAGACTGGATTTTGGTGCTTTGGCCATTCATGACGACCTATTTAAAAAATGCTAAGATTCTGAGTTTCTGAACATTGGGCATTTACAATAAAGCCATAAAATTATAAAAGTTCCTAACTATTGCTCTCTGTGCCTGAGCATTTTTTACAATACATGTTTAAAATGCTAAGTCTGCCTGACCCTTGTTCTCTTTGTGTCACAATTTATGATTGAACGTTCTAATTTATATTATTGTTTGTGAAGTAATATGGAAAAAGTCCACTTCCTTCTGCGTTTTTCTATATTGCCTTTGATGATCGTGTTGATTAAGGTTGACTGCAACTCACACACTGTGAGTTATATTCTTGGTTCTTTCGGTAAAGTCACGTAGAAGGGAAACAATATTGTTTTATAGTTTTATTATTTTATTGTTTCCCTTCTACGTGACTTTACCGAAAGAACCAAGAATATGAATCCCTGCAGTCACGAAAGCTTTAAATCAAAATTTACACTGTGAGTTGACACTGAACACATTTGGCACACACACAGCACACAGCCTGCATCGCATGCACTCTTAATTGCTCAGTGATGATCATTCAAACATTCCAATGTATGACTCTTATTTATATGCAAGTTTCCAATATTTGTTCTATTTTGAATTATATTTTATATTTTAGATTAACAGAAAACTAGCAGTAACTGCCGAGTGTTGTGCTTTGCTTGGCAGAGAGCCGGCTTTTGACATAATAGCTCTGTTCCTGTCTTCGCCTAGCAATTTATCTCAATTACCCAAGCATGCTATTTGGTCATGTGTCATCACTGTGAGAAGTGGATCAACTTGTTCCTGGAAGTCCAAATCCAAAAGTTTAATACAAAAAAATTATTTGCTTAATTTCATTGATGAAGACTGTGCAATACTTTAGAGATTAAATGGAAAAGGAATTGTAGTCCCTCCGACATCATAGTTTTGGTGCCCTAATTTTTCAGTAGCTAGCCAGGTGGCTCAGCACCTCGCAATCGGAAAGGTTGCGAGTTCAAATCCGGGTTGGTGCATTGACTCAACCCATCATCCCCCTGGAGTTCATAAAAGCCTTCCCACTTTGTGGTGAAGTCAACAGTGGTTGTCATCTGGAGATACTTGCACCCCGCTGTGGAATTTAGAATTTCTACTCCCCGGTTCATGGGTTGTAAACGAGAGGTGAGTGCCACCGTAATGCTAATTTATCTTGCTTAAGCAGTGTGCAGTACCAGCCCCAATGTACCCCAATCGACGCCATCTATGATACGCAGTTCATGGTGATCTGCTGCTGTACCAGCGGAGCACAAACCTTGTGCAGCAATACGGTCAGCACAGTTTCACCGGTGTCTCCGGCCCCAAGACCTGGACCCGGTTACCCAGCGGCAGATGTCTGGGATCCATGGTTGAGTTCTGAGCCAGTTTTGCAACATACTTAAATTGGCGTTATTGCAACGAGCTTTCCTATGCTCTGATCAAAAGGGTGTGCGATAACAAATGTTCAGAATTGCTTACTTACAGTTGAGAAATTTAATTTCCGGTTTCATTGTATTTCTCCCAAAGTGTAAGACCCGAGCGCATTGTCATTTTTGTGCAGATCCCTGTACAATGAACCGCTGACGCCCGCCTCCAACACCAGCCTGAGCCCCGTGGGCTCCCCGCTCAATGAGATCGCCTTTGAGTGCGTGGAGACCCCCACCGCAGCCGACTGGTCGGCCTTCCTCAATGCCTCCACCAATGGCAAGATGGAGAACGAGTTCTCTCAGCTGACACTCTCTGACCACGAGCAGCGGGAGCTCTACTAGGCGGCCAAGATCATCCAGACGGCCTTCCGCAAGTACAAGGTGTTTGAGCGGATTTTGCCGTTGCCCTCCGTGGACACAGCTGCTGCCGCCGCTGTGCTACCACTGACGCTATTGCCGTTGTTGCCATAGCTAGAGAGCGCAAGAGCCAGATACGGTTCTGAGCCTGACCGGAGGTCAACCCAGATCATTTATCTCTTGTGCCTCTCTCTCTTTTGTTTACAACGAAATGTTTACGGACGTGAACGTTTTCCACACGCAAATGAAAAGTGCGTCGTACCGACGCGCGACTGGTATAGCTATCGCAAGGCATTTTGAAAATGTGTTTTGACACTCATAATGGACACAATTGTAATAAGTGTGTATATAACTATATATATAAAAATACTATTTACAACGATTTGTAAATCCACTGCTGGATAGCAGCCTTCCCGCACCATGTCATTGGTGGGGGGTTTTTATTATTACTATTTACTTCACCACAGTGCAGGTTATTGAAGGAGGGGAGCATAGACGTGGGAGCATAGAAGTACGGAACAGTAATGGATTTTGCAGCACTGCTCTCTGCTGCGCAAAAAAATATCCCTGCAGTAGTCTATAGCGGTGATTGCCTATCATATCCAGGTTCAATCCTTCTTAGCTTCTGGTGAAATTGGTTATTGGCTTTATTCTTTGGGAGTTGGCAAAGTGCGTATCACATCCAGGTAAGACAACAGTGGTCATCCTATTTTGAGACTGACGCCTAACCATGAAAATGTAGAATTCCCACCGGTACCTTAGGCCTGCTAATGAGGACACTTAATTTGTATTTTACATCGACTAATACCGTAACTACCTAAATAACCACGATTATATTCACAAATATATTCTCATTAATTGTATTGTCTTTTATACGCCGTGTAATTATAAGTAACTCCTAATACTTAAATTGCTTTTCTGTCCTTACCTGTTTGGGTGATAATTTGGTGGGGCACCTAAATCACAGTTGGAAGGTTATCCACAGTGATTGTAAATGTTAGTGGTTGCACTATATTGTACTATACAGCTGCTGTACTATGGGGCCATCCATAAATGATGTCACGCACCTGGGGGGGGGGGGGGGTCAGACATTTGTGACGATTTGTGACGAGGGGGGGTGGTTGAGAAATGTGATGTCACATCAAAATGCGCAACTTTCAATAAATATAGACAACACGTTCTACTTAATTAAATAGACTTTTTAATACATGTTTTCTTCTACAACATCAGAGTGCAGCACCTCATTAAATACGCACTACAATGACAAAAGTTTTAAGCGATTTGAAGCATGTTTTTTGGGGGGGGGCAGAGCTTTGTGACGTCATATTTGAGGGGGGGGGTCTGACTTTTTGTGATGTTGTGTGACAAAGGGGGGGGGGCAAAAATCGTCCAAAAAGAGCGTGACATCATTTATGGACGGCCCCTATGCCACATGCAGAGTTCAAATCTGGCTTAGGACTAACAGTGGGCGTGCATGTGTCTAGATGTCGGGAGCGCCTAGTGTCGTGGTTAACGCACTGTGCTACCAATCCGGCAACACGAGTTCAATTCCCGCTCAAAGGGCAACACGAGTGACGATAATCCGAACCGGTCCTGGACCTCCTCTCGGTCGACTCAGCTTCAATTGAGTACTCAGTTCGGTGTGTAAACACTGCCACTGGAGAGGCAAAGGCGGCCGGGACGTGGTGCTGGTCACCCTCTCCCTCGTGTACCGTGGCGACCTTCATAGGTGTTCGCAGTGGCGTCACTAGGGTTGGTTTCACCCAGTGCGGGAACTCATGGTGTCACCCCTCATTGACCTCTCTGCCCATACCAGACCATACAGAATCCTTAGTAATGTGTTTTGTATTAATGTTACTCGTAAATCGTGATTACCGTATATCACTGAATGTAATGGCAATAGTAGTGACATGAACAACAAGAAAAAATAAAATTACACCTTTAAATTACAATATTTCCTTTAATTACTGCTTCATTCTCAAAAAAGTTATTGATATAGATTTTGATTTAAAGCTTTCGTGGCTGCAAGGATTCATCTTCTTTGGTTCTTTCGGTAAAGTCACGTAGAATGAGAATAAAAAATAAATTGATAAAATAAAATAACACAATAATATTCTCACGACGTTTCGGCCACAACACAAGCGGCCTTCATCAGGTGAAGGGACGAGCCTGTCTGGTAGGACAGCGCTGGAGTGAAAAAGCCACGCTCAGATCACGACCTTTAAGCTGTGTGAGAAGAAACAAAGCGCCTTGACAAAGGAATTAGCATATAATTTAGCATTGAAATGGCTGAGTGATTAGCTTGTGACTGGTCACAGAAATGGCTATGTTAAAGTTAAAGCATACACATCCGCAGAGGCACCCCTTGACAAAGGAATTAGCATAGAATTTAGCATTGAAATAGCTAAGTTAAAGCATACACATCTGCAGAGGCACCCCTTGACAAAGAAATTAGCATAGAATTTAGCATTGAAATAGCTGAGTGATTAGCTTGTAACTGGTCACAGAAATAGCTATGTTAAAGTCAGAGCATACACATTCACCGAGGCACCTAGTACAAATCAAACAGGAGAATTTAGCATTGAAATAACTAGGCGAATTTAGCATTGAAATAACAGAGTGATTAGCTAGTGACTGGTCCCAGAAATGGCTATGTTGAAGTCAAGGCCTACACATCTGAGCAATTCACAGTAACTGGGTATACAATACAATATATAATGAATACTATATAGTGAACCAATAAAAAACTAAAATATAAATTACCTTAATGTTATCAATAAACTCTATATTCTCCAATCAGCTAAGCTACCAACAATAAGTCGTTATATATCACAATGCTATATGGCGAAAAAATGGGTGGATTCTTACCCTCAACTTTAGCAACACGGATAGCTACGGGCCCCGTTCAGAGGGACGAGTTCATCCATGGTCGGAACAGAGGAGGGGGAGAGAGACAGCTGCGAGGCGCTGTTATACTCCATGTTGTAAACCATACCATTAACTGTGGTGTGAGAGGTATTAAGAGTCAATGCTGGCGAAAGAGCTGCGGTCTGAAGGTCATCGTAAAATACAATTAAGAATGGAAATGGTTTAAAACATCTTTCCAATGGTTACTAAGCCAGAATGCATCTTCTCGGTTGAAATTGTCTCTGTGCTTGTATATGTGAATGGCCTCATAAACGAATCTCTCATGGTAGCCGGTTGGTTTGCAAAGAACCTCCGTCTTGGAGAAGTCAATGTCATGTGAGCCCACTGAATTATAACAGTGATCTGCCACGGCAGAGGAGTTCGTTCTACCGTGTTTCAAGTCTGCTTTATGTTCGCGGATGCGGTCCGAAATATGTCGTTTGTTTTCTCCAATGTAGCTACTACCACAGAGGCACTTTAGTTTGTAAACGCCCGGGTACTGTATGTCTGGAACAGCATCTTTTACAGATGGAACTAAATCACGGATTTTATGTACTGTGTTGAATCGGACCTGGATCTTGTGTTTATTCAGGATTTTGGAGATCTTTTTAGTGACCCCTGCAATGTAGGGTAAGGTGATGGTTTTGAGTGGCTCCACAAGAGGATCCTTCTTCATGACTGGAGTGATGGCTTTGCAGATTGTGTAGTCGGAGTAACCATTAGCCCTGAGAGCCTGGTGTACGTGCTTGAGTTCACTGGTAATGTGTTCCTGGTCAGAAATGCATTGGGCTCTATGGTATAGAGTCTTGATGAGGGAGTTCTTCTGGGATGGATGGTGGTGGGAATCCGGTTTCAAGTAAGCATCTGTATGGGTAGCTTTCCTGTAGACAGAGTGGCTCATTGAACCATCATGTCTCCTTTTAATTAAGACATCCAAAAAGGGTAGTTTGCCATCCAGACTGCCACTCTACGCCCGACCTTATGGAAAAGGTACGTGGATGACACCTTTGTCATCTGGCCACATGGCCAGCCTGCTCTAGACCAATTCCGCGACCACATCAATTCCATACACCCAGCCAACAGATTTACCATGGAGGTCGAAAAAGATGGCAAACTACCCTTTTTGGATGTCTTAATTAAAAGGAGACATGATGGTTCAATGAGCCACTCTGTCTACAGGAAAGCTACCCATACAGATGCTTACTTGAAACCGGATTCCCACCACCATCCATCCCAGAAGAACTCCCTCATCAAGACTCTATACCATAGAGCCCAATGCATTTCCAACCAGGAACACATTACCAGTGAACTCAAGCACGTACACCAGGCTCTTAGGGCTAATGGTTACTCCGACTACACAATCCGCAAAGCCATCACTCCAGTCATGAAGAAGGATCCTCTTGTGGAGCCACTCAAAACCATCACCTTACCCTACATTGCAGGGGTCACTAAAAATATCTCTAAAATCCTGAACAAACACAAGATGCAGGTCCGATTCAACACAGTACATACAATCCGTGATTTAGTTCCATCTGTAAAAGATGCTGTTCCAGACATACAGTACCCGGGCGTTTACAAACTAATGTGCCTCTGTGGTAGTAGCTAATTTGGAGAAATCAAACGACATATCTCGGACCGTATCCGCGAACATAAAGCAGACTTGAAACACGGTAGAACGAACTCCTCTGCCGTGGCAGATCACTGTTATAATTCAGTGGGCTCACATGACATTGACTTCTCCAAGACGGAGGTTCTTTGCAAACCAACCGGCTACCATGAGAGATTCGTTCATGAGGCCATTCACATATAGAAGCACAGAGACAATTTCAACCGAGAAGATGGATTCTGGCTTAGTAACCATTGGAAAGATGTTTTAAACCATTTCCGTTCTTAATTAATTGTATTTTACAATGACCTTCAGACCGCAGCTCTTTCGCCAGCATTGACTCTTAATACCTCTCACACCACGGTTAATGGTATGGTTTACAACATGGAGTATAATAGCGCCTCGCAGCTGTTTCTCTCCCCCTCCTCTGTTCCGACCATGGATGAACTCGTCCGTCTGAACGGGGCCCGTAGCTATCTGTGTTGCTAAAGTTGAGGGTAAGAATCCACTCATTTTTTCGCCATATAGCATTGTGATATATAACGACTTATTGTTGGTAGCTTAGCTGATTGGAGAATATAGAGTTTATTGATAACATTAAGGTAATTTATATTTTAGTTTTTTATTGGTTGACTATATAGTATTCATTATATATTGTATTGTATACCCAGTTACTGTGAATTGCTCAGATGTGTAGGCCTTTACTTCAACATAGCCATTTCTGTGACCAATCACTAGCTAATCACTCAGTTATTTCAATGCTAAATTCGCCTAGTTATTTCAATGCTAAATTCTCCTGTTTGATTTGTACTAGGTGCCTCGGTGAATGTGTATGCTCTGACTTTAACATAGCTATTTCTGTGAGCAGTTACAAGCTAATCACTCAGCTATTTCAATGCTAAATTATATGCTAATTCCTTTGTCATGGGGTGCCTCTGCGGATGTGTATGCTTTAACTTAGCTATTTCAATGCTAAATTCTATGCTAATTCCTTTGTCAAGGGGTGCCTCTGCGGATGTGTATGCTTTAACTTTAACATAGCCATTTCTGTGACCATTCACAAGCTAATCACTCAGCCATTTCAATGCTAAATTATATGCTAATTCCTATGTCAAGGCGCTTTTGTTTCTTCTCACACAGCTTAAAGGTCGCGATCTGAGCGTGGCTTTTTCACTCCAGCGCTGTCCTACCAGACAGGCTCGTCCCTTCACCTGATGAACGCCGCTTGTGTTGTGGCCGAAACGTCGTGAGAATATTATTGTGTTATTTTATTTTATCAATTTATTATTTTATTCTCATTCTACGTGACTTTACCGAAAGAACCAAAGAAAATTAAACATTGCTTAATAAACAACAAAAAACACAGTGTTGTGTAACTTAGTTTCAATTCCAGATTTAACGTCATTGTTGTTTATGAAAAACAACCGTGAATATGCTCGGCATGTGACCTTGAATCACCGTGAGACACGGGTTGATTGAGCGCAGATTTCTCTTGTTGCCTTGAGCCATTCTTAATCCGCTGCTTCACGGTGGCTTTTCAATGCTACCCCATTGATGTGTGTGGCTGCAGGTTGACTCATTTGCAATTTGACACTTGCTACGTGGAAAGTACAACTTAGCTTGAAGTCCAATCTAATGGTTTACCAGTTGTCCACTTAAGCGGTTAATCATTTTACATGCAATTGAGCAGCAAGAGTTTGTATCGAAACTGAACTAAAACATTTTTTATTTTACCAGGTAAGGCCTACTGAGCTCTAATGCTCTTTTTCAGATGCTACCTAGCCACAATTGATAGCTCAACAAAGTGGCTTTTCACGTGGAAATTTATAGCAGCCAAATAATCTAAACGCGTGATGTTGATTCTAAATGTGGAGGGAAAAACCAGAGGGCCCGGAGAAAAATCCACGTGACCACGGGGAGCACATGCAAACTCCAAATATACGGGCGTCGGGGTTGGCATCAAACCTCCGGTATACCAGGCGAGGTAGTTAATATATTGCCACTGTGCTGTCCTTCAATCAATACATCGTATAGCAAAGAGTCACCAAATGTATTTTCTAAAAATAATTCAACATAGGAAGAAGTCACAGAAACTCCACGGACAAAAGTCCCAGGTTCATTACTCCTGGGTTTAGGGGAAGGTAAAAATTGGGGCTTACTACCCCACCTGAGGTGGGGACCACGAGCGAGAGCACAGATTATTATTTTTATATGGGGAGGAAAGGATGAGGAGAGAAGAACAAAACTAAAGGGGGTAGAAGGGGAACAAAATTGCAAAGGAAGTTTATCTTAGACACACAAAGTGAACTTATTGCCAGATAAAGTCCCGCAGAGCGGTGATTTACTCCTGTCCATCTCCCCAGGGGTGGCCCAATCTCTTGGACATGGATTTTTTTTTTTACATTGACCAATTCAGTGTGAGATTTCAGGTCTTAGCGCAATCTGTGGGAGTTCTGAGGCCAGATGTTTTTTTGAGAGACCTCGAGAATAATGAGTTGCACAGCAATGTTGTGTAACAAAACATACGTTTAAATAATTGCTTGAGACGTAACTTACTTGAAGCCACGTCTACATTAAATGTAAGATACCTTTGTAAATACACTGATTATTTTCTTGTTGGAATGCAATGGTCTTCCCAGGTTTTCCAACGCAGCGTATTTCAAGTCCTCATTTGTATTTCAAATTACAGATTGGCCTAAGTTAAACGAAAGCACTTTTGCCAGCTGGCTCCTTGTCTGTGTGTTTCCTCTTACATAACCAGTCTGTACATGAAGACAAAAGATATCAACTTCAAGGAAAATGTAAAGAGCATCTGGCAATAGTTTTTTTACTTCCCTTTCTCTGTATCTTGGTATGCAAATTCAAGTTTAGCAATGTATATTATTTTTCGAATAGCAAGCAACGTTGTGTATTGATCCTCGCGACGGCTACAGTAAGGGATTGAATTAAACATCCTTTGACACTTTTCACATCAAAATACCACGTCAGTCAGTGAAGGTTGAAGAATGACGTTGGTCCCTTTTGCAGGGACGGCGTCTAAAGGAGCAACAGGACATGGCTGCAGCTGTTATCCAGCGATGCTACAGGAAGTATAAACAGGTAAAACCCATTCCGTTCGGTCACTGTGCGACAACATCTTTGTGGGTATAATGCACACCTTGAGAGCTTTGTCTGTTCACTGAACAGAATTGTAGCTGTCATTCCCATCGGCTGGAACGTGAGAGGTGTAGGTTAAAGTTTAAGTATAAATATACAAAAACTCGGGGTTGTTCAGGGGTGCCTGTGGCGCCCCTCACAACCATTTACGGCCTTCGGCCAGGAAAGTCACGAAAAAAATTGCACACGAACGACGCATTCACGCAAGCACCCGATGCTCCGTTTTGAAGTTTTAAAATGAAACATCTTTTAATTGTATTATGTTTTGAATTAGATAATTTTATTTCGTCATTAAAAGCTTATATCATTTTACATCTGGAAGGCTTAATTGAAAATGTCATTTTACGTGCATTTTCTCTCGTCGTTAAGTAGATGGCCTTGCTGGGGGTTCAATTCGATCGAGATAAGGCGACACAGAGCTGGCTGTGCAAGAAGACCGCCTGTCTGCAGATCGATTCCAACGTAATCGAACGTCTGTCCCTGCGCCTCTGTCGTTCATGCAGGGAGCGCATAGGTTTGAGCGCCCCCTGCATGAAAACGACGGAAAGTGCAGCGTTCAGCACAGATGAAGTTGTGCGCTTATATAAGAGTATTGTTTGGATATTTTAGCATTGTCCAAATGTGCTTTTTCTTTTACTGTAACATTCCATTGTGTGCTTCCACACGCTTTGCAGTCGTTAAAATGTTGACCCGCGTGTGCATGTACATTACATATTGCACCGTTCCTGTCTTTGAGTGAAATTATCCCTTAAATGGCACTGATTTAAAAATAAAAAGCTAAGAGAATTTCGCACTTAGGTTGTTGGTATGCAATCGGCCAATCTATATTAGAAATAAGCACCACTGAATTACATGAGAGAAAATGTGAATTTGCTCGATAACAAAATACAGGCGCTGTATAGAAAATTAATATATGCTTTTAAATATTATAATTAACAATATTAAATGGCATTGCCTCTCTACATACGGCTTTCTCAAGATACTTTATACAAAGATCTTAGGTATGTACAGCTAGAAATTCAATTAAAATGTCTTATGTATTTGACACATAATACATGCAGAATTATTCATTGCTATGAAATCTTACTTCACAAAAATGCATCGCCTTCTTGAATACGACTCACAATGTATGCAAATGTCACTGCATGTTAACATCGATTGTATGCATAGGAAACTCATACATTTTTAGTGGTATTTTGACACGCGAAATTTGCATATGCAAAATATGACTGACAAGCATCTGTGTTCATATGGTTAGTTTCACTGTGACAGAATTACAGCACGGGGCACAGAACATACAAAAAAACTCAACGTTGTAGCATAAGTATCTTCAATAATATATTTTTTTGGTTAGATTGTGTAAATATAAATGTGTCGTTAAACCCACCACCACCCGACACAACCAATTAGTAAGGTTTGTCACGGCAACAGAACATGCCAATTCGTTACAAGTACAGCACACCGGTGTGTTGGAAAGCAAATCCACAATATTTACAATCTGAGTGCAACGTTTCGCCAATAATTACAACTAGCATCATCAGGCGGATAAGCATCTTCTTATTAATAATGGTGGGCGTTTATTTATTTATTTATTATTCATTCACATTGTGATAAACTAGAATTTCGGCGGCCTACGATCGCCTTATTCTATCTCCTACGGAGGATTTCTCAGTGCTCTGTGCCTCGCCAATCGCCCCCACTGATGTCCTCTTCTTCCCCCCTCCCAAATGTGTGCAGATAGTACTGACTATTGTATGTATGTAGGGTGTGTAGGTATATATGTAGATACTACTGACTCTTATATGTATGGTGTGTAAGTATATATGTAGATACTACTGACACTGTTGTATGTAGGGTGTGTAGGTATATATGTAGATACTACTGACTATTGTATGTAGGGTGTGTAAGTATATATGTAGATACTACTGACAGTATTGTATGTAGGGTGTGTAGATATATATGTAGATACTACTGACTATTGTATGTAGGGTGTGTAAGTATATATGTAGATACTACTGACACTGTTGTATGTAGGGTGTGTAGGTATATATGTAGATACTACTGACTATTGTATGTAGCGTGTGTAAGTATATATGTAGATACTACTGACTATTGTATGTAGGGTGTGTAGGTATATATGTAGATACTACTGACTCTATTGTATGTAGGGTGTCTAAGTATATATGTAGATACTACTGACTATTGTATGTAGGGTGTGTAAGGATATATGTAAGAATTTATTATTTGAGAATTTTATTATTTTATTTTTATTATTTTATTTCCATTATGTGACTTTACCGAAAGAACCAAGAAGATGAATCCCTGCAGTCACGAAAGCTTTAAATCGAAAAGAGTCGACAATTTCTAAAAAACTTTTTGGATCAACTTTTTACTACGCACCTGGGGGTTGTCCACTTTATATAACTTGTTTTGTATTATTCATGCCTTCTGAAAGTCTTTTTTATAATTAAGTGGACGGACAAATGGGCATATGGAACGCCGGACTTTTCTAATAAATCGTTGCTGCCTCGGCGATATCGCCACTCAGAATAAACAAAAAGACAAACGCCAACTAAAACATTTATAAATTATCACTCTCCAAAAGAGGAAAAACAAATCGTGTTTAAAAAACGTGTTTAAACGTTATTGATTGTGTACTTTTTTTAGATTAGGTTTTGTATGTACACAGATGGCACAATATTTGATAATACTTTACAACACTTTTGTTCATCGACTGCGGAATGAAAGCTTCCTTATGGTGTGTCGGAGGTTGTTTGACCATAATTCACCACTTGGTTCAGTAAATGTTTTAAAGTCGGGAGCCTAGGACGATTTCAGACATCACTGGCCACCGATGTTTGCCATGGTCAAGATTCATACCCAGGTCACTGGATTCCGAGTGCAGTGCACTAACCACTGCGTCACTGCTCTCCACTCTAAACACATGATAGGTCATAGCATATCCATGTATATTTAACTCACGTAGTATTTGAAACATCTGTAAATAAGAATACCATTTCAGTGCAAATTGTGTTTTCAGTACTTTCCTGGTTAATCCAGTAATTATAACTTGTATGGGTGTATCATCTGCGACCGCTTTAGAGACATTTGTTGGCAATTACTTAACATGAAATTAAGTTTTGATTGCATACTTATCACATCTTAAATTAATACATGTTTGTGCCCCAACAGCCTGTAAAGGCGATACATGGGATTTTTCTCTTTGTATATAATTGTGGAGTAGTTAGCATGCTGCACTACTAACCCGGCAACCTGAGTTCGAATCCCGCTCATAGCAAACACCGCCGGTGACGATTATCTGAACTAGTCCTGGGCCTCTCCTAGGACGACTCGGCCTCAAATGAGTACCCAGTGTGGGATGTGAACATTACCACCGGGGAGACAGAGGCAGTTGGCTGTGATGATGACCACTGACCCCTTCATGTGCCATGCCGGCCTTCATAGGTGCTCACTAATGGCACTTTCCCCAACAGTCTGTTAAACACTTTATCGGACTATCACTCTATATGCAGCTCTGAGTCTTCTCAGCCACAGCCATTTCCTCCCTTCTCTATTCATGCGCAACATGGACCCCTTTAAAGAAACACAGTGAGCTCCTCCGCAGGTATAGTTGCGTTGGCTGGGTCACGTGACCCGCATGCTCAGCCACTGCATGCCAAAGCAGCTTCTGTTTGGCTAGATAGAGGCGGATAAATGGCCACGTCACCGGTTGGAAAAGTGATGGGCTGATGTGGTTACGGGAGGATGTGGAGCTGATTGGACTCGCCGATGACTGGTGCCAGTGGTGTCTTGATCTGCCTCTGTGGAGGAGGTTTTTAAAGGACGCAATTGGGCAGTTTGAGGCAGTCGACCTCCAACAATGTTGCAGAGGTTATTTTTTTTTAACAAAAATTAACAGGGCACCGGATAGCTAAAATGCAGCAAGGAGGAGCACAGGTAGTGGCCAGTCAACTCAAATCACCTGGGTCTGTCCCGTGACCTCCTGCCAGCGTCATGGTGACGTCACACTTCAAGTGGCCTCAACATGCATCTAGCCTGGCACAAGCGTCATGGTGACGTCACTGCCACTTTGTGGCGAAAGGGTGCCTGTTGTTTGTATGTGGTCATCATATCCTCTATCTAATATATACATTTGTTTACATTGAAAAAAACAAGAAGTTTACACATGGAATGTGAAATTCAGAAATATGTCGGACGTAAAGGTAACTCATTGGAAATAAACTCTCATACTTTTTTTCTAAACATAATACATGACAAAAATTTGCATGCAACTGACGTCATATAAATAAACTTTTAAAACTCAAATAAATGTCCCACCGGTAGCAAATAAATGTCACATTTTGGGACAGTGATTTATGCACTGTGCTCTGCACCTGACAACCTAAGTTTAATTCCATGCCACAGCTGACATCAGGGGTGAGTGATATCTTCAATGAGACCTGTGTACTCCCTTCACCAACCCACACTAGCCAGTGTGGTGAAATGATATCAAACAATCCCCATGACTGACAGTTTGGGGATGCCTTGTGAATTATTACATAGGTATGCATGTTGAACTTATTTTGCACCGTACGTAGCCAACCATGCTAATCAGAGGTGCGGGAAAAGGACAACAAATGAAACACAATAAGCAGTTCTTCAGAGAGTTTTCAATCTAGATTTCAAAGTGCCTTGCGTTCCAGACAGTCACGGAAGCACATCTGGAAGCACAAAAATTAGTGACCGTTTTTGTTCGATGTCTAGCCAAACGCCGCTGCTCGGATGATCCGAGTTCGTGTGACGGTTTATATAATATTTACAGTTTTGTCAAATTATGTGTTTCAATACATTTGTTCATAAACCTTGGTAATAATTTACCGGTGATGCATTGGTATCCGGCCGGTAGAGCGAGCTGCTCGCCATCGGAAGGTTGCAAGTTCAATTCCTGGTTGGGCTTTGACTCAGCCCATTATACATCTGGGGTCGATAAAATACTTACCACTTTATGGGGACGTGAAAAGTGGATGTCCTATGGGGAACTCACCCCTTCCATAGAAATGTGGAATTTCTACCACTTGGATCAGGGCTGTAAACCAAGAGATGAGCACTGCCTAAATGCTCACTTGAGCAGGACTTTGACTTGAATGTGTGTTGGTAGAATGTGTTATGAGTGTGGAAATGTGAATTAATGTCGACATTTTGTGTTGTAACAAAGCTGACATGGATAGCGCTGAAGGTAACGTGCACGTTTTTGTCATATCATTGTCAAATGCTGCAATGTTATCTTCATATTGCACTACATTCTGGTTTCAGACGGGAGTATCTAGAATGGATTCATGAATGAAAAGTGGTTCTAGTTCCCTAACCCGAATGATGGTGTAAAGATCAAGAATGTATGAAAATCAAGTTAATAATACGTAAAATGTATTTTAACTAAAACGTACAAACATTTTCTTTGGTTCTTTCGGTAAAGTCACGTAGAATGAGAATAAAATAATAAAATAAAACAAAAATTTATCACGACGTTTCGGCCACAACACAAGTGGCCTTCAGGTGAAAGGAACAAATCTGTCGGGACGACAGAGCTACAATGAACGCTGCTAAGATTCGCAGCGTCTTTTAAGCTGGTTGAGAGAAGTGAGGCACCTTGACAAAGGGGTTTACATATCAAACAGGAGAATTTAGCATTGAAACAGTTGAGGGATTAGCTTGTGACTGGTCACAGAAATAGCTATGTTAAAGTCAAAGCCTACACATCCACAGAGGCACCTAGTGCATGGACGCCATGCACTAGGTGCCTCTGTGGATGTGTAGGCTTTGACTTTCCATCGAAGAAGTAGACAGGTAAAAGGGGTTTTGCTTTTGACTAATTTACTAATAGGAGTGGCTTAAAAATTGGATTCCCATTGCTTTCTTTCTCGCATGAAGTACTGCACTTTGTTAATATATAACAGTACTTGCATTTTATATCAATCCCTATTTTTTTTATCCTTCTGTCGAACCTCAAACGTACATTTGCAAAAGGGTTCAATGCTCTTCCAGTTTGAGTCTTTAAAGATTGAGTACTGTGCTGAGTAAAGTTTACATATAATTTATTAAAACACTATAACATTTGCAGCAGTCATATAGATTTTCATCTTCAAATTTAAAACGTAAGCATTGTGCATATCTAAAAATGATCTAACAGAAGCTGGATGTAAGGACACGTTTTATAAGCACAGCTCTCCTATAAGTAACATCGCTATAATGTGCTTGTGAGGCGATGCAACAGGCAACTTCTTATTCAAGCACACTTCGGATATAAGCACAACTGGCCTTATAGCCAGCTTCTACTAGCTTCTAACATGATTGTGCAAATATTTGAATCGAACATTTTTATTATATCTATCGGAAGAGAATGTGATGTTATTTAGAGATTGCGTTTGTAGTTGTAGTTGGGTGGGGGTTTTAGAAGTCGTGTTAAATTAAATACCACGCAAAGATTTGGTGATGCAGATATTCTCTACTTCAATTTTTTACTCTTGAATTTCATTAAGTGTTTTTTACAAGGTGATGAGGTGCACATATATGGGGATAAAGCACACCGAAGTGTAATGCTGTTGGTCAAAGGTTATATTAAGACTGTGTACTCACCATCAACACATCAGACACACACATGGAGTTGAATGTTCAAAGGTGTACATGTGTAGTTCACAGCAACTAGTTAACTCTATTTTTTTTACTGTAAAGCTAATTATTATTTCGGCATACAGTAGGAATATATTTGTTTCTGTTGTGCTTCAAGTACATTTACATGATTTTAGGGTTTTTTTGTACCTCAAAGTATATTTTGGTCAAAACATACGGCACGTAATTTGGTCAATATATATGTATGTAATCGTAAAGGGAGGGCAGTGGCAGCGCAGTGATTTGCACATTGCTCTGAACCCTGTTACCTGAGTTTGCTTCCTGACCACGGCTAACGTCAGTGGTGAGTGATAATCTCTACCAGTCCTGGGCATCAACTCACACAGACCAGTATGCTGAAGTATGGCTTAAACAGTTCCCATGACCTACGGGTGTGGGGACACTTTCATCTAGCAGTGGAAGAGCCAAACAGCATTATTATTAAATACCTTCACTAATGCTGCACAAATTGCATCTCAAACGTACACACCTTCTGCACGTTACATCATGTCGGGAAATTCTTAAACTAAACAAAAAGCAGAATGCAAACTTCTTGCGCTCTCTTCTCTTTAACAATGTCCAAAGAACGATTTTGGAAAGTAGACATTTTCGAAGGGTGAGTGACTGTTTTGTGGCCGCCTTCCGCAAGTGCACGCGTGCGAACACACACACCACCCACCCACACCCCCTGTCTCTCTACCACTCCCCCCCCCACCTCCTCCTAAACCCAAAGCCTGCACACCCTCTCAACCGCTTGCATGGTGAATGGCCTGCTGGCACAATGGCTGCTAGCCTCATCCTTGCCATCACAACGAACTCGAGAGAGGTGCTTGGCCTCTCTCAGGACCCTTGTTGATGCCTCTCCACCTTCCAAGTCCACCGAGACAAAAGTCGTTTCGAGTGTCAATACCAGCCGCATGAATCGGCCTCGAGTTTTGAACGCAGTACAGCGGTGCATTTCGCTCACTAAGCATACATTGCTCATGAAAAGCAAATAATATATATTTTTGTTCTTTTGTTGCTCCAAAAACATATTTTCAATGTTTTTTTTCCAACGTGCTTCTGTTTCTACCCCAGCCCCAAACCCACCCATTCGTTATATTTGTATGCCGTTGAATTCACGTCATTTCTGTTTCATATTTGCATTTTCATTCATCATAATTGGCAACTGGCTTTGTTGGTATTTACGCATCCAAGGTGAGTTTCGATGACAACAAAATAAAGCGGGAGACCTCAGGCGTCTGCCAACAATTTGTCACCCGTGTGCACTTCTTCGTGCCTTCAATAACCAAATACGACACGGAGACCTCAAGGTCTGTCAATAATTGTCAAGAGCCATTTTCTCACGTGGCAACGCCCCCTCATTTTAATTCCGTGAGAACGTTACTTCGTTGTTGATTTATTTTAAAATCTTAATTCTTTTTTACGTAACCATTGTGTTTTTGTATGTGTTGCACTTCTGAAGTTGTTGCTATCTCTTTTGTTTTCATGCCTATGTTTTTTTGTCGGAGCCTGTTTTCTATGTTTCGCGTCCCATCAGTGTCAGGTTGATATTAATAGGTGATGATGTCACCCAGTAATTTACAGATACAATGCTCAAGCTATTGCTGTCGATAAAACCACCAAAAAATGTGTTTTTGTTACTTGGTACACAACTGTTGGTTTTTGGACATGCATATAGGTTTAATTTCATCTTAAAAGTATAACTCATGGGTTAATTATTCAAAGTGTTACAAAACTTACTTTATAAAGAAGATAACTTATACAAACCATTACTAATATGCATGATTTACCTCTGCTAATTGTCAATCTCTCCGCATGTGTATTTCAAATCATGCCTTAACATTATTGACATCTGCTGATTTTTTTCTTTTAGCAGCTTCTATACTTGGATGCATTTATTTATTTGTGTAAATATGTATCAATCAAATTATATTGTGGCTTTTTTTATAAATCCCAAGTGCAAAGATTGTCGTCTTAAGACGCACTCGTGGAGGGTAGAAAATGAGGCATTACAAAGTATGGAGCCATTACACGGGCATGACTTGAGCTTTTAACTCGAGAGAAGTACCACGCAAAGCATTGCTTGCCGATTTCATTTAAACACCCCCCCTTCCCAAAGAAAAAGGGAAAGAAGTACATTAATCTATCAATGTGCTTTAAAAAAAAATAACCTACAATTAAAATTGCATGCTTGGAGACAATCGAGGCATCGTTGCATTTGTGCTACTGACAGCGCAGTGCTGATCAGACCTCTTACGGTGCAATCAGTAGAATGTGCATGTCCGCGCAAGGGTCCCACATGCCCAGGCATCTTCACCTTGCAAACTGTTGACTGGTTGTAGGCCGACACAGTGCATGTCTTCTCTGGTCTGTGCATGATAGTGTTTCCTGTACAGTGACTTTGTGCAACCTAAACGTTTCGTTTCGTCTGAACCCCCTCCGTTAATTGCATTTTGTTGCGCATACTAAGTCCCCTTGCTCACTTACCCTTTTATACACGCGCCTTGGAGATGTTTGATTTTGTCGATTTGCTATCCTGTGCATGTGACGCATGGTTTTGTTCTCTTTGCGAGCCGCATTCGATTTACTCAGTTCATGCGTTGCTGAAGTAGCCTTCAAAATGTATTGGCATGTCGAGTGTTTTCGAGAAAAAAAACTCATGCATGTTGACAAACGTATGAGGCCTACAGGAAACACTATGTGCAGCCACTACATTTACACCACGGTGGCAAATGGTGTGTTCCTAAAACGGCACGTTAATTTGTCTCGCCAATGCTTTATTTCCCCCCCCCCAACCCTGCCAACCTTCTCTCTCGGTTGCACAGAATGAAGGAATTAAAGCAAGCGCGAGAAGTGGAAAGTCCTCAGAAGCACAGCCTGACAACCTAACAGCCCCGCTGGTAGGACGCCACTCAACCATCTCGTGCTAGGCCAGGCCTGGGCTCTACTCCCCCACCTACCACACCTGTGTCAGATCCTAAAACCCTGTTGCCACCTCGTCCAGGGTGGGCTGTTCACGCTGGATCTTTTTACTTGCGTTTAAGTGAACGTCACGTGCCTTACGTTACGCGAAACGTGCTCACACCACCGCGTGGAACGTAACTCGCCCCCCTCGTGCGTTAGGCTGCTCCCTGTGGTATAGCACATGGTACGTGGTGGGTGACGACTGCTTCAGAGCACTTGAGCCCCCCCCCCCACCTTCTTTGCTCTACCCCATAACCTCGATTAGCTGCCAGGCTCGTATCCTCGGCATTCTAAAACTTCAGCCCTAAGCGAACGGTTTTAGGGGGCACGTAAACTCTTCATCCTAACCCCCCTCCTCACCGTGACGTCCCTGAAGTGAGGCTTAAGTGGCCATTAGGTTACATTGCGTGTGTTAAGCGATCCAGTGTGAACTCACCGTAACTCTTTATCTGCTGTCTTTTTAACTTTGTAACCCTTTCACTGGTGCCCCCCCCACACCCATGCACCTATATCCCTGGATGTCTGAATTACACTCGTGTGTGTAGCCACTGGAATGTCGCACAGAGTAAACCGATGTCTCTTCTAAACTACTGGGTGAAATAATGTGTACCATACATATTAAAGAGCTTGATTACTGTGTAAATGTTTTCATAACACCTACAGTCCTTTTCGATTTAAAGCTTTCGTGACTGCAAGGATTCATCTTCTTTGGTTCTTTTGGTAAAGTCACGTAGAATGAGAATAAAATAATAAATTAATAAAGAAATATAACACAATGAAATTCTCACGACGTTTCGGCCACAACACAAGTGGCCTTTTTCAGGTGAAAGGAACAGACTTGTCGGGACGACAGAGCTTTACCGAAAGAACCAAAGAAGACCTACAGTCCTTCCATTTCAGTCTCCCTGATCTTATTTTCTTTCTCAGTAAATGTTCCCCTCAAATAATGTCCTTTGTCGATACACAAATGCCCCTTCCATTTTATTAGTCTCAAACAACTGTGGCTTTTGCATGCAGAACTTGGGCCCCCTAAAACAAAAACAGTGCATATATACACAAGCACACACATACGCACACACATAGCACACGTCATAATTACTCTGGTGTGACAATAAATGGAAACTGCACTGCATGGCACAGGCCAATAATGTGGACATTTACCACGAAGTATTGTACGTGCAATACAAACAAGCTTGAGCAAAAAGTACATACGTGGGGTATAATGCATACCATTGATCAGTAGCTCCCATTCTTCGGTCCCATAAGGTGGATCAAAAGGTGACCCGAAGAGAAGAAAAGACCGTGCTAAACGGTGGGTCCACCATGACAAAAGGTTGGGAGCTACTGCTCCTCCATTAAGTAACTCTGTCACCCTTCCCATGAAGCAGCCTTGGAAATGTGTAGCTAACGTGTGCCGTCCCTTCACTGCCGTCCCAACACTTCGATAGCTCAAAGTAGCATGCAGATAGGATTAGTAGTAGGTTACTGTCCATATTCTGTCCTCGGGTCACATCTCATGAGGTTATAGGTTCGCTCTATACACTTCCTGCACTTTTATAACTGAATAAGATCTTTGTAGACAAACATGCTTAACATAATGCACACTGGAAATGTGACAAAGGATGGCACAGGCGTTGGGAAAGCAGGAAGATCGAGCTTTGCTCCTTTACAAGTTCTCATAGTTGCGGACATTTGTCAGATAAACAAAGAAGGTTGAATGTAATATGGTTATATGCATATATGGAGTGTATAGAAAGCTTTAAAACAAATTACATGTGCTCGCATGACAAATGCATCTTATAATAATGCATAGTATAAACTTTTTGTGCGCATATTTTAAAACAAATTAATATAAGGAAGATAATTTAAGCAATATAATTTAGAAAGCATGGCTTGATTGAGAAGTTGCCTCTAAAATATAGGAATACTTTTGGCTGGACACAAACGTAGCATACAATCGTCTTTATTTAACATATAATAGTTTGCCTTCTTGTAGTCAAGCCTGAGAGACGCACATTTATATAAAGTAACAAAAAAAACTGTCTATTTCGATGTTTTGCTTGTTCACAAATGTAACTTATTAATGTCACCTTTCTTCTGCACTGATTTGTTTCTGTTTGTACTCTGTGTCATGGCTGATATTTGCTTTTATGTACTAGACAGTGTCTTGAGCGGAGCGCTGAGCTCCTGCGCTGAGCTACTGCACGTGCGAATAACTGCGCCTGTGTCCATTACGTTGGTGTACATTATTAATGTAACTAGCCTGGATGTAAACCTTTCGTTTCATTTTCTAGTTTTTATTTTATTACTGGTATGGTTGTATGATTATTTATTCATTAAAAAATAAGCTTTGTTGGTTCCAATGCTTGACTCTTTTTTTACATTTGCTGTCCAATGCTTGTACTCGTTTATATATTTTGTATTACTTACGTTAAAACATCTAGTTCTGCAGCAGTCACTGAGTGCGCCATCGAGAATGACAAAGATGAGTGTCAGTCCGTTGCGCTGACTCGAGGAACCGCGAGCAACCGCTCTTCGAAAATATTGCGAAACTAAATTAATGAGTTTAACACGTAGGCTTTCGCGACCAATATCATCCATAATACAGGATTTTTTTGTTAGATCGTTTAATATATAAATGTGTCGTTAAACCCGACACCACCCGACACAGCTAATGAGTAAGGTTTGTCACGTAAACAGAACGTGCCAATTGGTCACTAGTACAGCACACCAGTGTGTTGGAGAGCAGAGCCACAACATTTACAATCTGAGTAGGACGTTTCGCCAGTAATTACAACTACAAGTTCTCGAAGTTGTGGGAATTTGTCAGATAAACACAGAAGCGAGAGCCTCCTTCTCAAAACGTCGCTGCAATCACGTAATATCAAAATGTACACTTGGCAAGGAGGGAATATTGTGCCAGTGAGTGGCAATGAAGCATCATTGCAAAACATGGCGTGTCGACATCAAATCGAAGGTCATCGGGGTAACAGCATTTCCGAATACAATAATTTATTTAACCTATAATTGGTGGCTATGCCTTTTGTCCTCTAATTTGGTTGGTAAACAAATCTTACGCAACTGGCTGTTTTTGTTCTGCTTAACCTCTTGCGATGGGTATGTTCGTGTAAAGGAGTCCACGATAAGTTGTCAACAGCCTCATGGCGACGCACACTTGTAAAAAAAAAACACTGTCGGAAAGGTGCCATACTATCGAAGGAAGCACCATCTGAAAGGTGCCACAAGCACCATCTGAAATATGGCACAAGCACCATCTGAAATATGGCACAAGCACCATCTGAAATATGCCACAAGCACCATCTGAAAGGTGTCACAAGCACTATCTGAAAGGTGCCGCTGTCATAGGAAGCACTTTCTGAAAGGTGTCACAAGCACTATCTGAAAGAAGCCACAAGTTCACCATGCGCCCCCTTTTATCCTTTCCACCGCTCTTCTCGAGCGTTCCTAACTGCCCCCTCCCCACCCCAAATCAATCCCAAATAAGTTACCTTCAACGGGGCTCTAACCGACCTGGGTATTTACTCGTTCAATTTCCCCGGGTTTTCACCCTTCAAAATTCGCCATCGAATACGAAACACAAACATCTCGCGCTCTGCCAATCAGGGGATGCGTGACGGGCAGCCGATCGCAGCGAGCCGGGTTCACGCAGCATGTCAAGGCCCCTTGCTAGTGACGGCTGGGCCAGTGGAAAGAGGAGAAATGCCGTGGATTCAAATAGCAAGTTGTCACTCCTCACTTGCACTGCACCGTGATTATAGACTAAAACTAAACATTGCTTTATTTTTGCCAGATAGGGACCACTGAGCTGTATAGCTCTTTTTCATTAGCGACGTGGCCACAAAACATAACTCAACAAAGTATGTTTTTCATGTGGAAATCTTTCACAGCCAAATACTCTAAACGCACGTTTGTATATGTGGAGGGGAAAACAGTAGGACCCGGAGGAAAATCCACCCGACCACGGGGAGAACATGCAAACTCCAAATATGCAGGGGTCAGGGTCAGGATTGAACCCACGACCTCCTGTATGTATACCAGGCGAGGGAGATAACATCTTGCCATCGTGGCGCCCCATTGAATAAGGTATGCCCTTGGCAACCTTTAGAATAAGTTCGTGTTGGTAGGTGACTTGTAGTGTAAATTTACACTGTCGGTCGAGAGCGTGGTGATGAGCTCTACGTCAGACTGGCCATTAAACTGTTCACTCCACGCGCTTTGTTTCTGCAAATATGTATTCAACTCTAATCTCAGTGAGGATAAAAATCTAGTTTCATGGAAAGGATAACACACGCATTTTCCCAATTACATTTTCAACCTTTTTGATAAAATAATATATGTTGTGATTATGAAAATCATATAAGTATGGCAGTGGTTCATCGAATTAACTCTGCTCGTCATCAGCCATGATCAATCCACTCCTGAATGCATTCCTTCCCAATTTACCTCCGCGGTTCAACGACGCAAAAGTCTACCCAGCGGCTGCACAGGAGGCGACCTCATTGCTCAATCTCTGTAGTGATGTCCTCATGGGCCCTTTCTCCCCCCATTTGGCTACAAATCAGTAGTCATTCTCACCCACTGGCTATCATTCCTTTGAGTGACGTGTTCTGCCCGAGCCAGTGGTTAATCGTTCATGTTTTTTTTCCATTTATATTTTTACCCTGAGTTTCTCCAATAGAATTTCCATTACACATTTCCCAATGTCACGGTGAATAACTTAATGGATAACTTTTTAACCGAGCTACCCGAGTTCAATTCCAGGCCACGACTTACAGTGCCAAGTGATATCTGAAACGATCCCGGGCCAAATCTTCCCCGGCCCAAATCTTCCCCGGCCCCACCGACCACGGTTAAACAACCCCCATGAGTGATGCAGCTTGGATAGGACTTCATCCGGTCGTGGACCGACTCAAGGCTGAATAGTTCATGTTATGAACTGATGAGGCCAACAACATATACTACAATAACGATCACGATTAAAATACAAATGTATTTTCATTAAAATTTGACGACAGGTGGTGGCTTCTCTTTACAAGTGGCCATACTTTAAAAGGCACGTTGAACTTCTTTCGCACCGTACATAGCCAACCGTAATAATCGGAGACACGAGTGTAAATATTGGGTGCACACGTGCTCCCACTAATATGCAAATGAGAAGAGGCAATGTTTAGTAAATTAACAAATGGTTATAAAAACTGCCCTAATGTTTTCCTTATTGATGACTGTACAGTAACTTGCTTGTCAACTATTTCCAGTTGCATTACAATGAGGTATGTTAACTCGACCTTGTCAATTGGGAAACAATCTAAAAAAATCCAGTCATGAAATGGAAAATGAATTCACGTAAACCCATGACTTGTTTGTGGACACTTTTCATCCCACGCACATGAATACTTTAGACAAGAGCACTTCACACTTTTCAAACCTAACTTCAGAACAGTGTATATGATATTGTGGTTTTACAAAATGAAAAGCTTATCGTGCATTTCTCTAATACATCCGGCAATGAATTAAAGCATATAATCGTCTCTCAGTACTGACGTTTTAAAAGACTGCAAAAAAACATGTTTTTTTGCAAAACAGACCAAACCAATGAAACTATATATTTGAAACATGAATGCCCCCCTTACATGCTTGAAATTACATTTTGAGACGAAAAGTTGACAGATCAGAGGGCGTGCGCAG